CCCTCCCGCGTCCGCAGCCGGCTCGGCTTCCTGCCGGTCAGACGCCGCTCCTTCCGGCTTCGGGTCCGGGCTCCGCGCGGAGGGCGAGGCAATGAGTGCGGCGGCGGCGGCGGCGGCCGAGCGGGGCTGGAAGAGCGAGAAAGTGGACGAGGCTCAGGCCCTGGCGCGGAGCTGCGCCGCCCGCAGACCCGACTTCCAGCCGTGCGACGGGCTCTCCATCTGTGCCACGCACAGCCATGGCAAGTGCTTCAAGCTGCACTGGTGCTGTCACCTAGGATGGTGTCACTGTAAGTCCGCCGCGTCCCCCTGCCCTCCGCCGCCGGGGCTCCGGGCTGGGCGGGCGGCTCCTCCGCGGGTTCGCGCCTCGGTGGCCACGAGCTGAAGTCCCGCCTTAGCCACTTGTGCGAAAGGGAATGTCCCCGTCCCGGGAAACTGGAGTCTTTTTTTTTCAACGGGTGGTGCCGTGGTTAAAGCGCTCGGCTGCCAACCGAAAGGGGGTGGGTTCGAACCTACCAGCGGCTCCGCGGAAGAAAGATGTGGCAGTCTGCTTGCATGAAGATTTACAGCCTTGGAAACCCTATGGGGCCGTTCTACTCTGTCCTGTAGGGTCGCTGTGAGTCGGAATCGACTGCACGGCAGTGGGGTTTGGGGTTTGAAATGATAGAAAGCCTTTAGAGTTGATGACAGCCGGAGAGGAAGGCTTCTTTCAGGGCTGGTGGGTGAAAGATGCTCTTTTTCTTCCTTACTTTTGCCCTTTCTGAGCTGCTGTTTCAATTTTCTTCCTCCCTTCTGCCTCTCTGGGCTGCTCTCTAAAAGGGAGAGCCCTTGGAAATCGAATCCTGGCCCGTTTGTTGCATCTAAATCGAGAAACGCTAAAGTGAGACGGATTGCTTCCAAAAAGTTAATATGAACAGTTTCGGAGGGCCAACTCCTTCAGTACGCAGTTGCCACGTGTAAAGCCGGTAGATGAGACTGTTTTTAAAATTACACAATGAAGTAAAGAAAGGCAAGCTCAAATAATCCTAAACCAATTTATAAAAGCCACAACTAAATAGTCTAGGCCTTTTTTCTGTGTTCCTGCTGCCTGTGGTTTTTAAATGGATTAAACTTAAATAGCCATTTAATCAAAATTCCACAGTTTGATGAGTTCATGGCATTTGGCCCACCATACGTGATGAATCCTTTCATTTAGAAATACATTATAAACTTAGTTTCCACATAACCTTATAATAGGGGATTTTTGGAGTGCTTATTAAGGCACAAATCCTTTAAGTGATCTTAAAGAAAATCGTTTTTCCTTGTTAGAAAACATGGCTCCGAGCCAGAGATGCAGTATATAATGAATCCTGATTTCTAGTAATTGAACAGAATGGAATATTTTTTATTGAATTTATGAATGAAAAGGAATTTTTACATTTTCTTTAAAAAGTCAAGGCACATGGAACAGTATTGATTTTTTTTTTTGCATTCCACCTGCTGATGGGTCAGTTTCTTCTTCTTTCTCTTTATTCCTATTACTCTCAGATCTGTTCCCGATTATGAAACATTGCTTAACTGTGGGACAGGGTACAAAGTTGGAAGTAGCAACCGTAGGAAACCTGGATGCTGAAGTACGCAGGGTAAATTTGGGGAGAGTCCATTCCCCAGGGAAGTGTAGAATCCTAGCATAAACGTGAGGGACATTGAAGATGGTCTAGTTCAGTGCCTGCCTGCCTTCAGCAGTATCCCTGCTCAGCACACTGTTACTGATTGGAATTCTGGAGCCTTCTCAGGCAACTTTTTTCATCATTAGACAGCTTTGACTCTTAAAATACAGTTCCTTATATGGAGCTGAAATGGATTACTTTCTAACTTCTTCCACTAGTCCTGTTTCAACCTTATAAAATCATATAGAACAGTCGAATCCATTTTTAGATCAAGGCTGTTTCAAGTCTTCAATATACATATGAATTTCTTGTGGATATGGACTATCTTCTCTCTCTATCCCCAGCCACTGTCACAGTGTCTGGACCAGAGTAGGTTTGAAATTTGTGTTTGTTGAATGACTGAATGAAGATAGCTGTCATGTTCTCCCAAGGCCTCATTGTGTCCTATTTATATATCTGTACTCCCTTCTACCCGTCCTTTTATGGAATCGTTTCAAGACTCCTCAGTCTCCTGGTCGTTCTCTTCGGAACGCGTGCCGATTTGGTCACGATCCTGTGAAGACTGCAACCCCTGGAGAGCTGCACAGTGTTTCCGTTGTGATCTGATCAGTCCCGAGTTGAGCAAGAGCTCTACCTACCATGTTTGAGAGACTATTGCTGCAGCTGGCATTACATTAGCTTTTCTGATACCCACATCTCGTCGGACTGAGATTGCTGCTGTCAGATTGTACTAAACATGCTGTCAACTAAAGCCGTTAAACTATCTTTTTTTTATTTTTAACTAAACCACAACTTTCCCATCTCACAGTTCTGTATGTCTATACATCTGTATATCTATATGTGGGGCGCTGATGGCGCAAGGGTTAAGGGCTCAGCTGCTAATCAAAGTGGCTCCGTGGGAAAAAGACATGGCAATCTGCTCCCATAAAGATTACAGCCAAGAAACTATAGGGCAGTTCTGCGCTGTCACATGGGGTCGCTATGAGTCTGAATTGGCTCAGCGGCACCTAACAACAACATCTGTCTGTCCATCCGTCCGTCCATCCATCCATCCATCCATCCATCCATCCATCCACCCATCCATCCACCCACCCATCCATCCATCCATCCTTTGGACACAGGTACTGAACCTGAAGATATTTTTTTCTCTATTTAGTTTTATTTTATTAAAATTAGCCCATATTTTTGGCTTATTATTGTCTCTTTAGATCCTGGCTCTTTCTGAGTATATACTATTAGTTATTCCCACTGCCAACAGCAGTACAGTAACCTTCTGCATCTGCATGTCATTGATAAAAAGGCTTCAGCAGGAGGCCGTGAGGTCCTGAAGCTTGCTGGGAGAACGGCCCCCGAGATGGTAGCAACGTGTCAGTGAGCACTTGTCATTCTGGTTGTTCACACAGCTCCTTAGCCACCGACTTGTACTGTTAGCCATCCTGTATTTATCTTACCATATGGTGCAATGAAAACCTGGTCAGATATCTTCTCGAAATTCTGACACTATTTCTACTACTTCTTTTTCAGTTACGATCTATACACACTCTCTCAAAAAACAATTCTGAATTTAGAAAAGGATTGACGTCAAGTGCACTGGACTGTTGTTGGCAGTTTTTTCTGTTTCTTAAAAAATCAGACTTAGGTTTATTTGCTCTTTCTAGTCTTTGGCAGCGCTCCGGTCCGCGGGCAGCGATCCTGCGATCGCACTCACGAGGAGCTTGACTTCAGTGAGAGAGCAAGGTGCTCTGCTGCGGTCTCCTCACCTTTAGACCAGGGCCGTCAAGCCGATTCCGACCCATAGCGACCCTACAGGACAGAGTAGAACTGCCCCATGGAGTTTCCAAGGAGCGCCTGGTGGATTCAAACTGCCGACCTCTTGGTGAGCAGCCATAGTTCTTAACCACTACGCCACCAGGGTTTCCCGTCACCTGTACTGAACTTCAATTCTTTCTATGTTTTTTAGCCCAAACTTTTCTTGAGAAGAAGGGGCGTTAACTCTTTTGAGACGTCCTGCTTTCTTTTTGCATTCATGAAGATTACAACATTAGTCCTAAGTAGAATTCCTTCAGTTGGGTTGAACGTGTATCAAGCAGCTTCTTTCTATGAGTCATTATTGTGGAAACTGGGAAAATAAACGTGAATACAGCTGGGCCTTTCCACACAGTCTCAAGGCATGGTCCCTGCCGTGTTTATTTTTGTGCTCCTTTAAAATCACAAGTGATGTGGGTGAGAAAACTATCAGCTTGTTCCCCAAGTCTGAAAATGCTAAAATAGGCGCTTTTTACCTCGATGCTTGAAGGAGGTAAATTCAGAACAAATTAAGGAAGTTCAGCATCCTATGGCCGACTGTAAACCTACGGCATTTATAACCTCATGGAATAGAAAAGGCTGAAAAATATATACATGTTCATAAAAGACATATAAAGCATGTATGTATGCATAGATGCATTATTAAAGGGAATTAATATATTTGGATAATGGCAGATTTTTTATTTTTCCAATTCAACAATTGCTACAAGTATAATTCAGTGACGTTGATTATATTCTTTATGCTGTGCAAGCATTCTCACTATCCTTTTCCAGATTATTCCACCACCATTAACATAAACTCAGTGCCCCCTAAGCAGAACCCCCCATCCCTAATACTACTACTAATCTTTGGTTTCTGTGTATTTGCTTATTTCACGTAAATGAGATCAGACGGTATTTGTCCTTTTGTGACTGACGGATTTTACTCTGTTTGATGTTTACAAGGTTTATCTGTGTTGTGGCATGCATCAGGGTTTCATTTCTCCGTATGGCTGAGAAGTATTCCGTTGTATGTGTATGTCACATTTTTATCCATCCGTCTGTCGACGGACATTTCCAGGTAGTGAACATAGAAAGAGAAGAGTGGCGTGCCCAGAGCTGAGAATTAGGACACAGAAATAATAGCTGATATTTACTGAGTGATTGATTACTTTGTGCCTGGAGTAAGGTTATTATGCTAAACATTTAATAGCCAATGATGTCATTATGTCCATTTTACAGATACGGAAGAAGGCCTAGAGAAGTACTTAACCGTGGGCACGTAGCTAGTAAGGAGTAGAGGCTGAGTCTGCATCCAGGTCTATAGTACCACCACGGGTACTACAGAGCAATTTGAAATTAATGAGCAAAACCAGCAGAGCTTGGTTCCATTAAAGCCAGTGATGGGAAAGCTTTTAAAGAATGGTCTGCAAATGGTATCAACTGCAGCAGTAAAACCCCGAGGAACGAGAACTGTCAAGAGTCACTGGATGTGGTAGATGAAATCCAAGTTAAGGGTTAAGGGAGAGGAAGTGATTAGTAGGTGACGGGAGTGGGTGTACGTGGTATAATGTAGGTGCCACCCGCAGAACTCAGAGTTGGCCTAATAAAATCACATAATAGATGAGCTCGGTTTTCTGCAGAAGACACCTTTAAAGATGTGTGTCTCTTTTCAGGTTGGAAGCAGAAAGAGTGGGACTGGATGTAGTCTAATAGATGATATTAGCATATCTAAAGAAAGACTGTCACAGCAGCAGGTAGAGGGGCAGCAGGGAAATACAGAAGAATGGGAGCTGGAGAGACAGAATTTGGAAGGGTTTTTTCAGGTCTTTCAGGGAAGGTGGTGTAGGCTTCTA